TTTTTTTTTGGTTTTTCTCCGGTACCGGGAACCGAACTCACGACCTTGCGCTTGCCAGGCAGGCGCTTTGCCGCTGAACTAAATTCCCAGCGCCCCAGTTTCTTTATTTTTTGGGACAGGATCTTGCTATGTAGTTTGGGCTAGTATTGGGCTCACTGTGGGGCCCAGGATGTCCTCGAACTTGCATGTGATCCTCCCATCTCAGCTTCCTTAATGTGTGCACAACCATATCCAGCCCAGCCACCATACCCAGCCCACTATACCCAATGTCTTAAAACAAAAATTACTGGACTTAAAAGGACACGAAAACAATCACAAGGGGATTCCCCACTCTCAAAATTAAGACAGGTTATCCTGACACAAAATCAACAAAGAAACATCAGAGTTAAACCACACTATTGAACAAATGCACTTAACAAATATCTGCAGAGTGTTTCATCTAACAACAATAGAATACACATTTTTCTCAACAGCACATGGAACTTTTTCCAAAATAGACCATCTTAGGCCATAAAGCATGCTTAAATAAATACTAAAGAACTGAAATAATACAGTGCATACTACTGGATCACAGTGGAATACAGCTGGAAATCAACAGTAAAAGAAGCCACAGAAATTATGCAAACAGGGTTTAAGTATATGTTACTGAATTATCAATGTTTTTACAGAAGAAACCAGGGAAGAAATAAGATAGTTCCTAGAATCAAAGGACAGTGGAAGCATACCAAAACATATGCAGGCACCATAAAAGCATTCCAAGAGGGAAGACTGTAGACCTCTTGCACACATAAAAAGAATAGAGTGACCCCAAGTAAATAACCTAATGGTCCATCTCAAGGACATAGAAAGACAAGAACAATCCAAATCTGAAACAGAAGGAAAGAAATGATAAAAGATCAGAGCAAAATTAATGAAATTGAAATTTTAAAAAAAACAGTACAAAGGATCAATGAACCACAGCACTGGTTCTTTGAAACAATGGGAAGGGAATTTGGGGATAAGGGAAGGGAATTTGGGGAGGGAGGGGCAGAGGAAGTAAAATGATGAAGATGAAATGTATGTGTACCAATTCCTCCACTATGTATCACAGTAATATACTAATAAAAAATTGAAAAGAAAAAAAACTCTTGACTCCTGTCCTGTGGCATGTATGTTTCTAACATAATATTTAAGTACTATAATTTTTCTTTCCCGTTTCCTCAACCAAACTATAACCAATTTGGGGGCAGGGACCTTATCTAATTTGATTTTACTTGTAGGTGGTAAACATAAGATTATTCAATTAATACCTACTTAATAAGTGAGTCATTCAAAACAGAACTTCAAAGCCAGGTGTGGTGGGGCACACCTGTAATCCCAGCACTCTGGGAGGTTAAGGCAGGAAATCATGCCAAGTTTGAAGCCAGCCTGAACATACATAGTGAGACCCTGCCTCAAAAAACAACACACAAAAAAAGTAACAACAATGAAAAACTGAGCTTCAGTTAGGCTCGGTCACACACCTATAATCCTAGTTACTTTGGAGGCTGAGGCAGATAGATTGCAAGTTTAAAGCCAGCTGGGGCAACACAGCAAAATCCTGTCTCAAAAAAAAAAAGGGCTGGGTATGTAGCTCTTTGTAGGATACTCCTGGGTGCAATACTCAGTACTGCAAAACAAAAACAAAAACCATGAAAAAGAAAATGTAAACTTCACTGGCTTATGATTTCTTTCTTTTTTTTTTTTTTTAAACTGGTGATCCTTCTGCCTCAGCCTCATAAATGCTGAGATACAGGTGTGGACCACCACACCCAATTTCATTGGTTTATTAAACTTTCCCTAACCCTTAGGTCAAAATACTCCTTAACCTCCTCTAGTGTCCTTTGTAGATCCTTCTCTTATAGACTTTGTCAAGCTGCATTTTAACTCTCTCCATCAAGTGAACTGTGAATTACTTGAGGACAGCAAACACCTTTCCTATTAGTAGGGTAAAACAGCTAGCACAGAGTCTAGCGTATATCATTCAATCACTTCATGTACTGAGTAAAACTCTATGCACCAAGGGCACATATACAGGGCACATACACAGCCATACACTTCCCTTAGCTCCATCTAAGAGCCTCGGGCATAGGTAAGTTTTCACATCTTAGGGAAATGCAGTGGTGCCTCAAAACCAACAGTAATATCCATTTGATTTTTACTCACATCTCATTTTTGTGCTTTGCAGAATTTTAAATAAGCATAGACTACTTCTTTATCATTAAAAGTTTAATACCAAACTTTACAGAAAATAAACTAAAATACAGATATTCCTCGTTTAACGACCCACCTGTTTAACAACTGTTCAGACTTTGAGGCTGTTTGGACTTACAACTCATCCTTTTCTTTTCTACAGTTCTTGTTTATAGAGCCTGAATCTCTTTTTTGATACAGTACACTTTGTTTATACAGTACTGTAATTTTTGCTGATTGTACTGTATAGTACAGTACTGTAGTTTTATGTTATATTGCACGTAAGAGTTATGCAAATAAAAGCAAAGTCATCAAGTTGGAATTTCTTTGAACCATTTCTTGTTCTGAATATTGTAATGTATGTACTACATACAATTCTTCATTTAGCAACCAATTTGTCTATATGTGCTACTTTTGCTTTGTTTTTTTTCTTCCGGTACCAGGAATCGAACTCACGACCTTGCGCTTGCCAGGCAGGCGCTGTGCCACTGAGCTAAATCCCCAGCCCCTATATGTGCTACTTTAAAGATAACAGCAGACTAACCCACTTGACTGATTTAGCTGTCACTGCTCAAGGCTGCTTTATGTGCTAAGTTTTATTTATTTATCTATTTTTTTTGAACCAGGAATCAAAATCAGGACCTGTGCTTGCCAGGCAGGTGCTTGTGCTGCTGAGCTATATCCCTGGCCCTGTGCTGAAGTTTTAATAACAGTAACTAATGCTGCGTGAAGAATGGATAAAGTGAAAAAAAGAAATACCCACCGTTGTACTTTACACTGTTGGCCAGAATAAGGTTTACATCATCTAGAAAGCTCTCCCGACTCTGGTACTTGTGCTTGGAGATATTCTATGATGAAAAGCATTAGGTACTCAGATACAAACATAAAAAGGCACTGATTAAAAAATTTGGTTTTTTTTTGAGACAGGATCTTGCTGTGTAGTTCAGGCTGACCTTGAACTTACTATGTAGCCCAGGCTGGCCTTGAACTTGTGTTGATCTCTCTTCCTCCCAAGTGCTAGGACTACAGGTATGCAGCACCACACCCAGCTAAAAAATCACTTTTGATCAAATTACTCACCTTACGTATAGTCTCTAAATCCATTGGACTGACAATCACTTTATAATAATCTGGAACAAACTTCTTATTAACTGGGTGATGAAATGGCCAAGACTAATAAAAAGAAAGCATGGGAAATTACATGAAAACCATTCTTCACATGAAATATTGTCAATCTCTGCTGGGTCACAAACATTCTTGACAAAACCTATAGACCTTCTTCCCAGAAAAAACACATCATCATACAAAACTCTGTATATAATTTCACAGGTTCATGGATTCCTTTAAGGGTTCCTATACCTTGATAGGCTAAGAACTCCACATTTAAAATTAAAATTCCTCATTTCTGCTGGGCTTGGTGGCGCACGCCTGTAATCCCAGCACTCGGGAGGCTGAGGCAGGAGGATCCTTGTGAGTTCGAGGCCAGCCTGGGCTACAAAGTGAGCTCAAGGCCAGCCTGAACTGCAGAGCAAGACTCTGTCTCAAAAAAGACAAAAAAAAAAAATTCCTCATTCCTGGGTTCACTACCCACCACCACAAAAAAATTGTCCCATTCAAGTTTTATAGCATAACCCATATAGAACATATGTCTATAATACAAAAAAACAAATTCTGAGAAGTATCATTACAACAAAATGGTCCATAAAATCAACACAATCGAGATAAGCCCTGCCATAAAATTGAAAGTGGAAAAAAAAGAAACAAAAGACCACTGGATAATTATCGAAGTGTTATTTTTACAAAAGCATCTCTAAATCAAGACATTTCTGTTATGAGGCATTTTTTCTCTAGATGGCTATTCAGAAGCATCAAAATACTGAATGTCAATAATAGAGAGCAAAAACCTCTCTATAGCCAAAGACTTCTGGCCTTTTCTATTTCAATAATAATATATTCATATAGCAAAAAGGCTGATATTTAAAATTACATACTGGTATTTGTTTCTACTGACCAATGCTCAGACTCGCTAACATATATATGTATATATACCCAATGTCTTTCTTTTCCCCTGTGCTACTCTTAGAATATTTAGCACAGAGACAACTCACATCTGGAACTGCCATCATTTTCTGAGTGACAATGTTGTCCAGAATGAATGAAAAAGCCACTTGGTCATCATCATCTAGCAAGGGGTTGATAGCTTTCTCTAAGCGAGCCAATTTGTCTTCTTTCTGAAATTAAACAAACAAAAAAGCCAAGAGAGGGGTTTCCCTGAGGTGTGATCAAGGCAGAAAGGCTAAGAATAATATAAAGATTAGCTAGCTGTCTATGACTTTTGACCCAAGAAGTTTAACTCTGAATCATCTATCATTCAGTACTAGACACAAAGTCTAAATAATTGATTTTGCCGTGAAGAATGTCTTCACAACTTCCTTAGGTATTCTACATTGTATTCTTCTATACCACAAAAATACCTATGTGTGGGTACCGATAGCTCCTACAACAAAAATATCTTCAGCAAGTTAGGCTTTACTATCATATGCTGTCTTTCTGTAAAACTGCTGAAAAAACTGAACATTACTATTGACTAGTGACTTTTGTATAAGGGAACTTAACACAACAAATTCATTTCTGACTTTGTACTAGGAAAAATTTTGTGCTTTCACTGCTCTACATCTTCAACATTTAGTCAGTAACTGTAGCCTTTCCAATGGATACACAGTGACATCTAATTGTGGTTTAAATATGCATCTCCAATGATTAATCAAGTTGACCATCTTTTCATGTTTGTTTTCTTTTTTTCCTTTTCATGTTTACTGGCCATTTGGTTATCCTCTTTTGTAAAATGTCTACTTCAATATTATCATTATCATAATTATATTTGTAGCTGGGTATGGTGGCACACTCTTGCATTACTTGCGAGGCTGAGACTGGAGGATTGCCACAAGTTTGAGGCCAGTCTGGGCTATACAGTGAGTTCAAGCCCAGCCTGAACTACATAGCAAGATCCTGTCTCAAAATACCAAAAATATATATATATATATTTCTGTAAACTTTAAAATTTTTTTTTCTGTCTTTTTGAGGCAGGGTCTCGCTATACAGTTCAAACTGGCCTTGAGCGCACAATGATCCTCCTGCCTCAGCCTCCCAAGTGCTGGGATTACAGGCTTGCACTAGCATGCCCAGCTATTTCTGTAAACCTTTAAGGTGCTAAAATTGTTTTTGTTAAGAAGATGGGCTGGGCGTGGTGGCGCACGCACTTGGGAGGCTAAGGCAGGGGGACTGTTGTGAGTTCGAGGCCAGCCTGGGCTACAAAGTGAGCTCAAGGCCAGCCTGAGCTGCAGAGTGAGACCCTGTCTCAAAAAGGCCAAAACAAAAAAAAAGATGGGATATAAATTATCTTTTAAGAATTAAAATCCCACTAAGTGTAATGGTATGAACCTGTAATCCCAGCACTCGGGAGAATGAGGCAGGAGGGTTGCCATGAGTTTAAGGCCAGCCTGCCCTACATAGCAAGACCTTGTCTCAAAAAAAAAAAAAAAAAAAAAAAAAATCCCTCCTGGCCAAAACACTGACTAGTCTCTTTTAACTACTGGCGAATTCCTGAGAAGTCACTTTCCTTTGCCCTTTCTGAAGTTACTATAGGTTCTGGATCACAATCCTACTTTTACTATTTTAATAGTTATGATACCTAGAGCAAGTTACTTTCCTCTATGGATGTAGCTTTCCAATCCACAAAAGAATTAGTTTATATAATTTCTAAGGTCCCTTCCAGCTTTCACATACTAAAGACCAAGTACTCCCACATATACTTCCTTCTGTGAAATTCCTACTCCCTAAACTCCACTACCCACACCTTTATATGCCACTCCCTTTCTCTCATTGTAAGTATCTTACCTCTTTGAGTTTTTCATCACAAAGATCCAGCATGGATTGAGAGATCTGGGTCAGTGAGTGTTTAGGCCCTATAGAAAAGAGTAAAAAATGAGCCCATTAAAAATGGAGGCAAAGCCGGGTGTGGTGGTGTACGCTTATAATCACAGCATCCACAAGGCTGAGGCAGAAGGATCACTGCAAATTTGAGGGCAGCCTGGGCTATGCAGTGAGTTCAAGGACAGCCTAGACTACAAAGTGAAAACTACATAGCAGCAAACTATATATAT